AGCATATCATATCAATCAATAGCTCGTCATATTAAGGGTATGCAATCATCACCACAATCAACTCCTTCTTGTACACATTGCTGTCAACTCCTCAGTTTCCCCCAACCTTGCACTGTGCCCCAGGTAATTATTAACCCAGTTACTGTCTTCATAGATTCACCAATTCTGACTTCCCTAAACAGAACAACATACAAAACAAAGACCAAAAATCCTCCAAAATGGCCTAGCAGCAACAACCAAATAAAGGAAGAAAACCTTAATATAAAAGAAAGCAGAACATATTTAAAAAGTAGAATAAATTCAAAATGGGTCAGAAAGAAGATCAAATGACAAGGTGTAAAACCGTATGATGCTAAAATATATCTGACAATGCTCTTTGTCTGATATATTAGACTATTCACATTCCCGTGGGGAGTCACCGGAGACTCAATCCACGTAGGGACCCTGCAAATGGATTTGGGCTTCTACTACCATCATAGCATGCTGCAATCCCTGTGTTTGGAATTTAGACTGTGGTACTATTCCCTCCTCTGGGTTTGGATTTTATTATTTACAATCCTTGGATCACATAGGCTGGTGTGTATCTTCCATGTGGACTTAGCTGACTACTTGGCTTTTTTTTTTTTTTTTTTAGTTAATGTGGAGTCAGACTAAATAGTCACTATGACAGTCAATATGCGTTCTCTATCTAACTGTCTTCCTGAAGAAGGTGATACTTAAGAAAACTTCAAAGCGGTAATCACTGCCAGCATTGGGAAAAAGGTTGTTTCATATTTTTGCAAACTGAGATTAGGCAAGGTCTGAAAGTGAGTGTAAAGAGATTTTAGGGTGGAAAAGAAAATCTGATTCCTGAGACATTTACTCATTATTCTATCCAAAAAGAATTCCTATGATTTCATTCTGGAAAACCATCTGTTCAACATATCTTAGTACTGTATCAAAACATTGTTGGAAGTTCAGCAAAATAGGATTCTAAGTGAAAAGTGCATAGCCAAAGAACAGGCGAGGAAAATAGAAAAGAACAACAGCTCATCGACCCTTTAAAGTCTGTTCTGATCATAGCAACCCTGTGTGCAGCAAAACAACACTGCCAGAAGCTGAGGGAAATGAACAGCCAAGCCTAGAGTTGTCCTTCTGAAGGACTGTATGGGCAAGGCACTGAACTATGCAGACAGTATTAAAGGGGGATAAAAGGAATACACAGAGTGCCTGTACCAAAAAGAGCTGATGGCATTCAGTCATGTCAAGAGGTAGCATATGATCAAGAACCAGTGGTGATGAAGGAAGATACACTGAAGGCATTGAGAAAAACTAGGTTCCAGGAATTGACAAAATACCAATAGAAATGTTTCAACAAGCTGATTCATCCTCACTGGAAGGATTTATTAGTTTTTGTCGAGAAATTAGGAGGACAACTACCTAGCCAACCAACTTTAAGAGTTCATTATTTGAGCTTATTCCATAGGAAGATAACCCAGCAGGTTACTGAAGATTTATTATTGAAGCTATTAATTACTGAAGATATTATTCAACAAATTATTAAAGATATTAATTTCACATGCAAGTAAAACTTTTGAAGATATTAATCTCACATGAAAGTAAAACTTTGCTAAAAATCATTCACCTCTGGTTGCATCAACAAGACCTTCCAGAAATTCAAGCAGGATTCAAAAGAGGATATGGCATAAGGCAATGGTTCTCAACCTATGGGTCGTGACCCCTTTGGGGTGGAACAACCCCTTCACAGGGGTCGCCCGATTCGTAAGAGTAGCAAAATGACAGTTATGAAGTAGCAACAAAATAATTTTATGGTTGGGGGATCACTACAACATGAGGAACTGTATTAAAGGGTCACGGCATTAGGAAGGTTGAGAACCACTGGCATATTATGGGATATCATTGCTGTCAGATGGATCTTGGCTCAAAGCAGAGAATACAAGAAAGATGTTTTGTGTTTGGGTGACTATGCAAAGGCACTTCGCTGTGTGGATCATACCAAACTACGGATAACACTGTGAAGAATGAGAATTCCACAACACTTAACTGTGCTCAGGTGGAACATGCACATGGGCCAAACGGCTGGCCCTTGAAAAGAACATGGGAATACTGCATGGTTTAAAATCAGGAAGAGCCTCGGTCAGGGTTGTCTCCTTTTACCAAATGTACTGTTTGTAAGGTTAGCACACAATCTGAGAATCGGGACTATGTGAAGAAGCAGAGCAAAGATGTCACTTTGAGGACTCAGGTGTGCCTGATCCAGGCCAAGATATTCTCAATGGCCTCGTGCTGTGAAAACTGGAAAGTGAAGAAGAAAAGACGCACAAAAGAGGATGTTTTGAATTATGGCTTTGGCAAAAAAATTTGAAAGTACCATGGACTGCCAGAAGAACAAACAAATCTGTCTTAGAAAAAGCACAGCCAAAACGTTCCTTAGAAGGGAGGCTGGTGAGATTTGACCCCAGGTACTTCAGGCATGTTATCAAGAGAGACCATGCAACAGACCAAAAAACCAAACTCACTGCCACTGAGTCTATCCTGACTCACAGGGACCCCACAGGATGGGGTGGAATTGCCCTGGGGAGTTTCTGAAACGGTACCTCTTTACAGGCATCGAATGCCTGCTCTTTCTGTGGAAAAGCACAGAGACCCTCAAGGAGACGGATTGACACAGTGGCTGCAATAATGGGCTCAAACGTCACTTGGCACAGGACCGAAGTGTTTTCTTCTGTTGCACACAGGACTGCTCTGAGGCCAAATGGACTTGGTGGTACCTAAAGCAACAACTAGAAAATGATGGAACGGAATGCAAGGGATATGGAGAATTCACTCACCACTGTGGAGTTGATGAGGATTCAAAGTGACCCTGTAGGGCAGAGGCATAATCAAGAGCCTGTTTTTTTGTTGTTTTAAGTTAACAGTTCAAGTTCTTTCTGGGAAGAAAAGCTGGGTGATTTATTTTTGAACATAAAGCAGACATAAAGAGAAAGAGGGGGTTTTAATCTTCCATGTTTCAAAAGGGGGAAGAAGTTCCTCTGGTCCTCAGTTCTTTCAGAATGGACTTTAAAATAATTTTTAGTGTAAATTCTTATGTCTCTCAGACAAGTATGTAGGTGTAGGATGTTGCTTCCAGGATCTGGTCTTCACCACTTTGAATTGTAATTGCAGGTGATCCTCACCTACCAGTTTCCTGGGAGATTATCAGTATCTCAGAAGGTTACCACTGTTCCAAATCCCAAAGCTACCCCTTCCATAAAGGTTCCAGAAAATTAACAAAGTTATCTTGCAAACATGTATGCGATGGATTGTCTTATATAACTAAACAACGGCTAAGATTTCTGTCTTTTGCAATACCTTTAGTGGATTGCTTATGATGCATCATTCCAGTGCAATGCTTATTCAATAAGAGAGATTTTTTTCCTTCTAGTGTTGTGGAGAGGTTTAAGGGGTTAGGAGTAGTTGCTATTTTTAAGTAACTTTTACCCCTGCAGAAAACTCAGTCATTGAAAACGAGGAGGCACACTCTGGCAGTCTGCCTACATGAAGTCTCTAGGACAGTGGTTCTCTACCTTCTTAACGCAGCCCCTTTCATACAGCCCCTCATGTGGTGGTGACCCCCAACCATAACATGATTTTCGTTGCTACTTCCTTAATGTCATTTTGTTACTGTGATGAATCGGGCGACCCCTGTGAAAGGGTCGTTTGATCCCCAAAGGGGTCGTGACCCACAGGTTGAAAACCGCTGGTAGGATTTGGGATTCTTTTTTTTTTAATGGCGAAGAATCTCTAGGCCCAATTTGATTCTTAATTTGTTAATTTAGCATTGGATCCAAGTTCTGAATATGGCAAAAGGTGTTGGCTACCACAGCCAGCACATTATCCACTCCATTAATATTTTCTTTTCTCAAACACCAAACTCACTTCCACAGAGTGGACGACTCCTAGCGACCCCTTCGGACAGGGCAGACCTGCCCCTTTGAATTTCTGGGACTTTTAACTCTTTACAGGAGTAGAAAACCTTCGTAAAATACTTGGGTAAAAACGTTTTTAACATCCCCTTCCTTTAAAATGCAATTCACCAGCCACTCTACCTTGCTTCTGACTAGGGCGCGCAAGTGGTTTTTCAAAAAGGCGGAGAAAGACATTTCAAACAAGCATTCAGAAAGAATTTGAAAGGCTTCCTTGCATTCTGGTACAGTGCCCCAAGAACTGGCTGGAGTTAAAAGAGGCTCCGCAAAGTTAGTTTCGGTTCAGCCTGGCGGACAGACGCTAGGCAGCCAGGGAGGCCACGTGACCGCCAAGATATTGGCTCAAGCAGCAGCAGCGGTAATTGCAAGCGGATTGATGGCCTAGGAATCTCGG